ATCTGTAACAAAGGTATACTTCCTCTGTAAACATGAATTAGGTCTATGTTTGTAACAAAGGTATACTTCCTCTGTAAACATGAATTGGGTCCTATGTTTGTAACAAAGGTATACTTCCTCTGTAAACAGACCTAAATAGTCGCAATGACAAGATAGGTGAGCACTGGGTTTTTTCTTGATGACCTACCTTCTCTGAAGGTGACCACTGGGTGTTTACTTAACGACCAACTTTTTTCTGAGTGGGACCACTGAGTTTTGACTGAACGACCATCCTTTTCTTAGTGAGCACTGGGTTTTAACTGAACGAACAACCTCCTCTGAGAGTGACCACTGGGTTTTGACTGAACGAACAACCTCCTCTGAGAGTGACCACTGGGTTTTGACTGAACGAACAATCTCCTCTGAGAGTGACCACTGGGTTTTGACTGGATGACCAACCTTCTCTACGTGCGAGCACTGGGTTTTTACTTAATGACCAACCTTCTCTGAGTGAGCACTGGGTTTTTACTTAATGACCAACCTTCTCTAAGTGCGAGCACTGGGTTTTTACTTAATGACCAACCTTCTCTGAGTGAGCACTGGGTTTTGACTGAACGACTTACCATCTCTGTGTGTGAGCACTGATTTTTTCTGAACGACCTACCTTCTCCGAGTGAGCACTGGGTTTTGACTGAACGACTAACCTTATTTGTGTGCGAGCACTGGGTTTTTACTGAATGACCAACCTTCTCTGCGTGCGAGCACTGGATTTTTACTTAATGACCTACCTTCTTGTATGAGAAGTGATTTTTACACAACAAATAAAAATTTCTATGTGACGTTTCGATGACTAGTACGGTATGAACACTGTCACCTTCATCAGACAAATGACAAATGAAGCGTATGCACTCAAAGGTGTAAAATGTGTACGAGTTGTCCATACGACGGAACCGTGAAGGTATTGGTCTATAGAAACAAGACTCATTTGGACCAATACCTGAACTTCAAATCTCACCATCGTTTACACCAGAAGTTAGGCGTCATACGCACATTGCTCAACAGATGCGATACAATAGTCACAGAACAACAGGACAAAACACAAGAGCAGAATCACATCTTTAGGGCAATGAGAACATGTGCATATCCGGAATGGGCCCTAAAACGGGTAAGAAAACAGTGTCAAAGTAAGGAGTAGAACAAGAAAAGGCCAATCAAATTCAAGGATAAGAACAAAACCAAATGTCAAGTGGTCATCCCGTATATAAAGGGTATATCCAAACTCATCCAGAGGATATATCACGATCATGGCATAGCAACAGCCATGAAGCCCCACAAGATGCTCTGCAATATCCTAGTACACCCTAAGGATAAAACATCTAAAGAAAACGTCGCAGAATGCGTATACAAAATCGGATGCAAAAACAGTGACGCGTCGTATATTGGAGAGACTGGAAGGCGATTTGGGGATCGCCTTGGTGAACACCAGAAAGATACAGAAGCCCAAGAAGGTAGGAAATTCACCAGATTTGAAAGAAAACAGTTGGAGACCCAGATAAATAAATCGGCAATCACAGACCATGCCACACAGAAAGACCATGTGATTGACTGGGATAACTCCAAAGTTTTGGACAGAGAGAGCAATCTGTTCAAGCGGCAGATTAAGGAAGCCATCTGGATACGCCGCAGTGGGCCAGTTCTAAATCGACACGAGGGGGCTCAAAGACTCTCGCACATGACCAAGTGTTCACAATGCGTAGCTGAATTGAGTCATTTCGGTACATATACAACAACTATTGTACATACGTTTCCAGCGTAGCCGAAATCAACATCGATCGTACACATTTTACGCCTTTGTGTGCATATGTTCATTGGTCATTTGTCTGATGAAGGCGACAGTGTACATAGCATACTAGTCACCAAAACGTCACATAGAAAATTTTATTGGGTGTGCTTACCAATCTGAAGAAAATGTTTAGAAATGACCTACCTTCTCTGAGCACTGGGTAACTGTGGTATATCTACCTGTGCTGCTGGGAGTGTGTCCTGGTCCTGAGAGAGTTAGGGGAATCTTGGTAGCCTTATGACTTTTCTCTCTCATCATTTTAGCTATGTACACTGAGGGTAGCACTTCCACTGTTTCGCCATTAACCTTGTTTTGATGATGGATGTTGCGCACCTTTAAACCCAGTACCTTCTTCTCCTGAAACATGGCCATGGTTTTTACTGAAACCTCAAAATCTTGGTCATTCCTCAAACAACAATATACTTAATTTCTGGTCCTTTTATCCAAACAACAGTCAACTTTCATGTCTGTCTAATCATATAGCCGGTATTCCAACATATTTTTGCATGCTATATCCAGTGTAATATATCTGTATTCATGTTACCCATAATATCTACTATGCTGGCTGAATATCCCCTAACTATAAATTACCAGGGATTTATTAAAGTTTGTTTCTAGGGATGTGACTGAACTATAAAGAATGAATACTCAAATGCATGCGTTGTACTTACATTTTTCTCACCAGAGTTGTTCTTTCCTCGGAGCATGTAGGGGTTTTCCTGGTGTGCGATGACCCCACAGCATCGGACTGGGGCCTCCATACACTGGGACGGGCTAAATTCCATCCCATCCAGGTTTTCCCGGGCATTGTCACTCATTGTCACGCATTTCTTGTGCACCTTCTTCGGCGCGTTGGTCACCTTCCTTGTTTGTAACATGGTGGATGAAAATGTTTTTTTCAGTCTAGATAATCTGAAACACATGTGAAGAAATCTTGTTCATTCCATGCCACTGATTTACTGATAAGGTGATCAAATGTACACTCCTATGATTCCAGACGATCAGTAATATACTGAACAAAAAAAGAAACGCACAAAGTTCCCCCCCTGCAGTACACCTTAGCTGTAAGGTAATAATGGAATATTTGGTCAGGTATTACATCAAGAACGATCTCTCTTCTCGACAATCTACCCTAAAATCAGCCAAGCGTGACGATGTCATTGTGTGACTTTGTGAGCTTCTTTAGTCCAAATCACGCGGCATGATCAAGCCAAGCCGGAGTTTTTCAAACAAATAATCTCAACGGATACTCTAAGTTTAGCCACATTAATTTTCCACTTTGGCATTTTGATTTCGCCATTGACCGAGATGCCACGCTTAACGCAAATTCAGAGGGGTAGAGCAATTGGGATGATGATGGATGGTCATAGCCAAACTGCTGTCGCACGGCAGTTTGGTGTTGGCCCGTGTACAATTAACCGTCTCTGTACACGTTTCCGTGCTACTGGGTTAGTTTCTGATCGTCCCAGGAGCGGTCGTCAGATTCAAGAATGCTGTAGAGACTGGATCCCATATCTTAGGTACTCATGGCAGACCCATTAGTCCTCAAACTGCCAGGAACCGCTTGCGTGCCGAGAGAATCATTGCGCGCCGACCTTATGTCGGGCCACCTCTGACACCACCACGGCGGCAAGTGCGTCTTGACTGGATGCGCAGACATGGCCCGAATAGGTTTGGGATGCGTCGATGGAGGCGTGTGATGTTCACCGACAAGTCTAGATTCTGTCTGTATCGCTCAGACAGAAGAAAAAGGGGATATCGCAGACGCGGTGAGCGTTTCGCCGACGCATGCGTGGTTGAACGCGATAGATTCGGTGGGGCTTCTGTAATGGTTTGGGGAGGCATCTCCCATGGAGTAAAATCCCCCTTATTGATCCTGGATCAAAACCTCAATGCCGTTCGATACAGAGACCAGATCCTCCAACCACATGTCCTTCCACTTCTCGGACGTCATAACCTAATTTTCCAGCAAGACAATGCTCGACCGCATGTTGCCAGATTCTGTCGTGATTTTCTCACGGCAGACAATGCAACGTTCAGCCTCTGGAATGGCCCCCATATAGCCCCGACATATCTCCCATTGAGCATCTGTGGGATGAGCTGGACAGGCATATAAGGAAACGTCAAAACCTCCCAACTAACCGCGTCCAGTTGATCGCAGCATTAACACAATATTGGAACAACATTCCCTTAAGGCGAATAAATGTTCTCATGAATTCAATGCATAGGAGAATCCGTGCAGGGATTCGTGCAAAAGGTGCCCACACCAGGTACTTAATGTCATTTTGTTTTTCGCGGGTATCTCACTTTGAGTAACTACTGATGACACGAGTGACGTCAAACAGACTTTTCTTCTACAGTATTGTAAAGAGTAGACTTTTTTTTTTTTTTCTATTTTTTTTTTTTTCTTATAAAAGAAAGGAAAAATATTGAACAAATTCCTTGCTGTCTGAGCATGTTGTCATGGACAAGCAGAATTGTTTAAGAACTGTCTTAAGGCTGAGTGAGGGAGTAAGTCTCTCAGCTAAGTGAAGTTAGTTTGTAGGCCGAGTAAAATATAAGGGAGTTAGCCTGTAGGCTGAATGAGAGAGTTAGCCTTTAGGGTGAGTGAAGGAGCTTGCATAAGCCTGTAGGGTGAGTGAGGGAGTTGGCCCTGTAGCCGGACTTAAGGAGTTAGCCTGTAGCCTGAGTGAGGGGTTAGCCTTAGGTTGAGTGAGGGAGTTTGCATGTAGGCTGAGTGAGGGGGTTAGCCTGTAGGCTGAGTGAAGGAGTTAGTCTGTAGGCTGAGTGAAGGATTAGCCTGTAGGCTGTGTAAGAGTTTGGGTGGTAAGAAGGCTAAGCGATCAAGGAGTAAGCCTGTATGCTGATTGAGGGGTTGGCCTGTAGGCTGATTGAGGTGTTAGCCTGTAGGCTGAGGTAAAGAGTAGACTTTGTACAAAATTTTATATCAATATGAAGGGACAAGTAAAGAGTAGACTTGTCCCTTCATATTGATATAAAATTTTGTACAAATTTCCCAAAATATCATAGGCTATTGATTGCATAATTTAATTGTGCATTTCTTTTTTTGTTCAGTACATATACTTATGTATGATTTCAGAGGAATTAATCAGTATGATAAAAGTTGTATCTTCACTGAAGTGACAATCTCATAATTATATATCTCTGGTTATGATGTGAATTTAATTGTAACATGTGACTGTTGCATCCAATTAAAAGTTCAATAGTAAAGGTTTTCCTGTTCAGTTTTTTATGCATTGCCTCACTTTTGGCTTTAATGTTGATCGCCCCAGGTGGCAATGGGTTCAGGACATTCCTAAGTCAAGAAACCGCCAATTGAGATATGGCCAGATTGTTACAGTACATTTTCATGTAAACAGTGGAATATTTCACTGTTTTTCTTACGGCATATGATGGATATAGCAGAATAGCATTAATACCTAAACATTGTTAATGTGTTTTGTTCATGAATGAATTGCAAATATGCAATACATGTACTAAATACTTATTTACCATATTTGTGATCACTCCAGTACCACTCCAGAACAGCATCACCTGTGATGAGCATCCTTTAAGATACATAAGCCATGCAAGTTAAGGTGATGTACAGCAAGTAGTTACTTAGTGACTAACCTAAACCAATCCTCTTAACCTGGTCACTGAAGCAGAAAATTTAGGTCAGAACCAGCATCCGAAGCATTGCATATGATAAGCGTCCTTAGATACATAAGCCATGCAAGTTTAGTTTATGTAGGACAAGTAGTTACTTGGTAAGTGACCTAAACTAATCTTCTTAACCATACTGCAGATGGGGCATGGGGCCTTAACCAATCTTCTTAACCTGATCAGTCAAGCGGAAAATGTAAGTCAGAAGCAGCATCCGAAGCATCCGAAGCATCGCATGTGATAAGCATCCGTAGATACATAAGCAATGCAAGTTAAGTTGATGTAGGATAATTAATAATTTAATAACTTGGAAACTGAGCTTAACCTTTCTTCTGCAGTGCAGACAGACAGACAAACAGAAAAACAGACGGACGGGAATTGCCCATCTTATATAAAAGCCCTGGATTGCAACGCAATCCGGCAAAAAAAGGTAGTAGTTATAATCTGATTTACATTTAGCATTCAGGGTAGTGGCAACAAATGGTTTACCCGTTATCGGCACGGTATTTCAGCAAGAGATAGTACTATAAAGTCAAGCAATCACCTGATCCAGTGATGGCTGATTTTAGCTATTTTACAAGAGGCCCTAAGGGCCTTTTATTGTAAGGTGAATGTGTTTTTTTATCAAGACAATCATGGCCATCTCAGATTTTTTATTACAATACCGGTAATACTTGTTACCAGAAAATAACAAATATTCATACCACATTTTGTAAAACATTTAACCACTGAAATCATTAACCATTCAGTGAACAGTGTGTCATTATGAAATATACTTTAAACAAACACAGTACACCTTATGAAAAGATTCTTGTAACACAACCAATGAGTGTTTCTATGTGACGTTTTTATGACTATTACAGTATGTGCTCCGTCACTTTCATCAGACAAATGACCAATGAAGTGTATGTCCACAAAGGTGTAAAATGTGTACAAGATGAATCGAAATGAGGGGGCTCATATACTCTTGCACATCTATGACCTAGTAGTTAACAAAGCGTAGCTGAATCGAGACATTTACGCGTCTCTGGTCATTTGTCTGATGAAGGTGACAAGAGTACATAGCGTACTAGTCATCGAAACGTCACATAGAAACACTTATTGGTTACAAGAATCTTTTTATAATCCATACTTACCAACCTGAAGATTTTTTTTAGAAATACAGTACGCCTGTTCCCGGCCAGGAGAGCATTATTCAGATCAAGTTATACATTACGTTTTACCCTTGGACTAGGTGGAATTTAGAACAAGCCGAAAACTGTTCAGTCAATCAGAGAACAGTCGACCATCTTTGGTTTTGAACTGATAACAAAATACCACTACGGCAGGGCCCTGCAACGAATATTTGAATGTAGTGATGGAACATGTAGTTAATATCTCAACCAAGAGATGCTCCATGAAAAATAAATAAGGTCAAAATCCCTTCACTTGTAATCAAAAAGGGCCAACCTTAGTCCCTTAACGAACCCCTATTTCTCTTTTAGATCACCGCCCCTGTTCCAAGAAAGGCACATCCTATATTTAAACCCAGAAAAAAAAACATACATTATTTTGTTGAAAGTAGTCTTTTAAACATTAACTTACATTTACCCTTTTAGTCCTGGGGAGAAAACACCCTTAATTTATTCAACAATAAATTCCCTTACGTTGGAAATCCCTTCACCCATTTCTAAGAAACGTCTTTTAAACTTTAACTAGCATTTCCCCTTTTAGACCCCCCATACATTCAACAATGAACTCCCTTCAACCAGAGCTTCTCCAGGTCAAGTAAGGTAAATATATCTCCTCTCATCCTAAATTCATTTACTTTCGAATATTAGCATTCATTTCTTCTTTAGGGTCCTGCCCGTTTTTCAAAGGAGGTGTCAGCATTTATACAAAATGACATTCCCTTGGTCAAGGAATGCTCCATGCAAAAGAATACCAAAAGCCCTTAATCCAGGCCGAGTGGTCTTTTCAAGATGAGACCCTCTTTCCCTTTTTCTCCTTTCTCTGTTCCCAGGAGAAGTATCACACCCTTCACTTAATCTACAATAAACTTTCATCCAGGGAGGTTCCATGCTTAATAGTCAAAATCCAGTCACCAATTCCTGGTAAGTATTTTTTTTTT